GCGACAGTGACAGTAAATGCAGGTGAGCGACGAGAAAGGCGCCACTACGTGGCGTGAAAAGAAGCGCTGAACGTGAATTCGCAAAACTAATGTGTGTTCGCTCAAAAACATGTTTCTGAAGTGCCATGAGAAAATCGAAACTGCATGACTGAGGTGAAAGTGCCCCCCGTAAATAAATATGCAGAACGTTCCCAGAATACTCTAAAGTGCTGCATAGTGGTGCGTTTACGGATCCGCTATGTCGACAACAGTCGACTTCGAGAGATGCGCGGTTTTAAAGACCCTAAGCGATCGCTTATCTTGTTGCGCTGTGTTGAAGCTTTACTTTGGGAAAAATCGTGTTGATGTGTGGCACCACTACAGTCACTGATGCCATTGCCTGAAGTTCAAACATAGCCTTTATTAAGGTATTATCCGTCGTCTCATGAGGAAGGAATTAGTTTCGATGCCATCTAAAAGGGCTCCATCAAATGTACGGCTTGTGGCGTTGCAGAATTGCGCTTGCTCACTCTGAATCCGCACACATTGCTCTGGATCTGCACACATTGCTTGAAACGTCAGCCAAGAAAATCACAACCTTTTCTAAGGAGCACTATGCAAAATCCTTCAGCTTTTCCGACGTGCTATTGCAAGAGAAGCAGATAATATTTTATGCTTTCGTTTTTTGCTGGGGCAATTCGATCTGGGCTAAGCATGTACGCACGGATGCAGCAGATCATGGGACGCTCAGACAACTCGCAGAAACTCTTTTTGAGAAGTATGCTCTCGATGATGGAGTGAAAGCAAAAGGGTTCACACTTTCACTTGCAGTTCTGAAAAGCCGCCGCAGGGAACCTTTGGTTGCTGGACGAACTTGGAGAACGTCAAACGAATGAAGAGTTTGTTAGGAAGATGGCTATATGACTGTGGCACCAAGCACAGACGCGCGTTATTTGAAAAGTGTCAGTTGAGTGAGTGGTGCTTCAACCGATGCGTACGTTGAGCCGCAGCGGTGTGAACGTGTGACCCCTTTCGAGCATGCGAACACGTGCACATGGAGCAAGATTGACAGCACAGCAGGCTGCGGACTTTGTGGACTAATGAATCCTTTTGCTCTGTATATCCATTTATTTATGACAGAAACAGCTAGACAAAACAACTTTTGCTGAAAAGGTACAACGTGCCTTTAGTTTGTCTGTCGTCATGTCAACCGTCATACTGAGGACGACACACATATCGAAGCACCAAGTGCGATTGGATATATGCCTTGTTACTTCCTTGCTGTTTGTCAGCCGCTATCTGACAGCGAAGCAGTTATATAGAGTATCCTACCGATTTGTGAAGCTTGTGAAAGCGGAAATGTGCCAGCAAGTGCGTCAAGGATCCAAATCACTTAGCGCTGTTACTTTTGTTAGAGCTTTTTTTAAAAAGAATAAACCTCATGATTCGCAATTTGTCGGTGCATTATGTTTTTTTCTGGTGAGGGGGTCACTGCCGACTTGCGCACCTGCAAGTTGGCGGGCATGCCACTGTTGTTATGACGTACAGTTTAAGCTAAGCATGCCCGAAGTCCCGTTTGCTGTCATTTTCCATGCATCTTTTTATGTTTCCTTTTTGGGGCTTCAAGGAGCCTAGGACGGACGTTGGTGACAAAATGCTCAGTTACTAAAGCTCTGAATGCGCGTGCAAGAGATAACAACGCAACTGTGCGGAAACTGCAGTCTCCTAGACCAAGCCAGCTGGAGGGTACGTAATGGCCTGAAGATCGTGAAGGACTGTCTATGTTCTGGTTTCACGTAGATTTATTATTGCACAGTGACGCATTTTATGAAACGGGAAGGGATATAGTAAGTTTCGTAGATTGTCGCCTGGATTTCGCTGCGCACGATCAACTTCATGCCAAAGGGTCATACCGAGTGGATTGCAGAATTGCCAACAGCCTGTGAACTTCGAACGTGCATGCGCATTCTGGAAACGTCTTTGACAGACGAATGCACAGGGAAGCGTACGATGCAGCAAGCGCTACAGTATCTGGATAGAAGGCGTGATGCTCCCTGTTTTCTGCGATGCGCCTAGACACACGAGACGATGACGCGTTTCCAGCTGGTGCGTCGAACTTAGTTTCGATAATTCGTGATCGCGGCGGTAGGCACGGACAGAAAGGACAGAATAATATGTGCGCATGCAAGTGCCGTGGTTTTGCAGTTAACCTGGGACAGATGAAGAAGAGTTGCAGGACACCATTCAAACCCTTTGCTAACTCTTCGGCACTCACTTAGCGACACTCCGATGGCAGCCCTCAAAAAGCCATAGTTGGTGCATTTACAGAATCAAAAAGGACCAAAAGCGTTGCACCCGATGTCGTATTTCGCAGCATCGGCTGCTCAGAGAATTGTGGGATTTGTGGACTGATGAAGGCATCAATTGCTTATTGTGTGTTGGCTTTGCAGGATAATGCCGACAAGGGTGAAAAGCGTAGAAGTTCCGTTGGTTATTGCAGGATATCTGCTCGTATCTTGTCGCTGCGCATGCATGTTGTTTCGTTTAGACTGTCGTGCTGCGCACAGACAATCTGCGAGGCGTGCCACCATTGGGAAATATGGGGTCACAAGTAGCCGTACGTGCTGTGAAAGGCTTGGGTAATATGTTTCCAGAGTTCTTGTGTTGCTGTTCGGTGAAGGTGGCACTGGAGGGCTATTAGGATCGAGATTAAGTCCAGGGTGTAATTTTTTTAGCTGGTGCGTTGAGTTGCTATGTTCATATGCGCCACATGCTCGCGCAAGGCCCGACGGTGAGGGTAACAGGCGAACTCACGGCGTGCGCATTGATCTGCAGTCTTACCGCTTCACAGCTATTGAAGCCGGGTTTCGCGGCCTCTGCCGTCAGCAAATTGCGAAAGACGTGTATCATGCATCTAAGACCTTATTGAGTGATAACAATGGACGGAATGTGCGGAACGGAAACGTGGCAAGAAGAGGCTTTTCAGGCAATGCATGCAGAATAATGCTCTGAGTTGATATGGTGTACGTGAATAAGCCACAAGAAGTTGGATGAGAGTAGCTAGGTGACCAGACTGTGCAAAACCACAGCCATGCAGAATATTCCAATATCTAGAATCGAGCTTCTGCGGGTATGCCGAAAAAAAGTGCAACGATTTACACCTAAGAGCGCGAGCTGGAGAAAGGGCAAAATTGCCTTTAATTCTTGGGTAGCAGCAGAAGCATGAAGTACCTAATCAGGCAATTGTTAGACAATTTTCTGAATAATCGCAACAGGCAAAGATTTTGGATTCTGTGGCGCGTTGCGGGCCTAGTCTTAAGGTACTTTTGCTGCCTGCCAACTCCAGGAGGACACAGAAATGCCAGCTGAGTAAGTGCCGAAGACTCAGCAGAGAGGTTGGACTGCCGCATGGTTTACGCAAGGCAGACTGCGTATTTGTGGTAAGGAGGGCATAACGACCCAAGGCGGTGAGCTGCAATGCGGAAATGCCTTGTGGTTATAACATCGTTACGCAACTCTGCAGGCCATTAGCTTGCGAGCTAGCCGTTTGCCGGGCAAGTGCTCAAGGTGATAGAAGTGGCTGGACGATTGCAAAGAAGCAAAGAGTATACTTCCAGCTAAGATGGGCAAACGTCCTCTTTGAACAGTTGTGGGACCTTTTCTATGAGGGAACGCACACTGGCGGACATTCGGAAGCTGTGATAGTGGTATGCAATATATCGAACGAACTTGCGCTGAGTAGGAAGAAGCACAGTCTAGTTACAGCCGAAGATGTGATTTGAAATGCAACATTGCGTCGAGCATACGAAGGCAACCCTTCAGAAAGATAAGCAAACGACTGTCCTTGCGAGATAGAGAAACACTAAAATTTTGTCAAATACGTCGTTGTAGAACGGGTGTGTCGAGGCTATACAAGCATCCACTTGCGGTGTGACAGCTTGTTTCGAGCTTTCTATATATGCAATCACTGTCTTTCAGGGCCAGCGTTCCCAAAGAAGTTTGGCGGTCGGAAATTCAGGCTCGAGGTTCGCTAAATGCCCGTGGGCTACAATGCAGCAGCTAGATTCCTGCAGTGCCATTACCGCAAAATCAACATAGAGATAAGAGGGCAGCTTGACTCATTCACGACATGTTTCCTGTGTTGCAAATTCTCATTAAAAACACGCAACAGTGTGTGACATCCTTTGGATTCAGTATGGCGGTAGTAGGGGCTCTTTCTGTGAACGAGAACCTTATGAGCCAAGATTTCCCAAGCAAATTTTCAGAATGACGCATTGGAGGCACTATGCGCATTTGTGATAAATGAAGAAAGCCAATTCGCCCCTTGATGCCCAGACAAAAAGCACGTTTTCGCATGGTAGATTTATCTGCTGCTGGATAAGCCTGTGTGTGGTTCTTTTCTGCGACAGTAAAAGGCAAACAGTCGCTCACTAGCAGACTGCGTAAACGATGCTTTTCGCGCCGCGTACAAAATTCCACTGAGTAGCGAACTGCGAACAAAAGCCAGATCCAGTAATTTGACTTTGAAAATCGCCTCTTTCTCCACAGCGAGTGAAATAATTTGGGGAGAGAGCAAAGGTGGCTGACATTGTGGACTGAGCGAAAGACACGTTCATTCTCGAAAATGATAGCGCACGGCCGAAGTATTGAACCTTCGCGAACTTTAGTGAGTCACCGTACAATTTGTTGCATGCGTGCTATATGGGACGAGATTGAGCATTTTAATCTGCGTTTCTGAAGAGAGCGGGATGGCTGGAGTCCGGTCGTGAGGTTCATTTGCGGCCTGTCAGTTCAAGAAGATAGCTGCATTCCAGCTGGGTGAGTGGGCGCTGAGGAATCAGGCGAGCGCACGGAGAACCACAATTTCTGTGGAAGATATATGGTGTGCGGCGAGCATGTGCTGCGCCGGAGGGAGGAAAGTGCAGCGCGCATATCCATTAGGTTTGGACGCAGTTAGTGTGAAGCTGCAAAACGCACCAGTAGCTAAGCAGTCGTCCATTTTCCAGGCGATTTCTTGTGACATGGGCGGTGGCGACGGCTTGTGGCTTTGCACCGAATGGAAGGGAACAGTTGCTTTTGTGGTCTCCAGAACAGAACCAGACTCTGGAGCAGTACGTTTGCCGGTTGCTGGATAAGCCTGTGTGTTGTATTTTCGTTCCTAGGTAAAGCGTCGGTGCTCGTTCGCTAGCAGGATGCACACGCCGTGTTTTTTGGTCGTGAACCAGCGTGCGCTGATAAGCAAGCTGGCGGAAGAAAGCAAAAGCGGTAGTTTGATTTTGGGATATGCTATTATCTCCAGGCTGTATGGAAGAACTTGGGGAGGGCGCAGAAAATTGCTGACATTGGGGACAAAGGGAAGGATGTAATTGTTCCAGTATTGGCGTTGCAGGATGGGAGTATTGGAGGTAGGCCTACTTTAGGCGGTTGTCCCGCAATTTGTTGCGTGCGTACTATATGCGACGAGACTGAGCGTTTTGATCAACGTTTCTGAAGAGAGCGGGATGGCTGGAGTCCGGTCGTGAGGTTCATTTGCGGCCTGTCAGTTCAAGAAGATAGCTGCATTCCAGCTGGGTGAGTGGGCGCTGAGGAGTCAGGAGAGCGCACGGAGAACCACAATTTCTGTGGAAGATATATGGTGTGCGGCGAGCATGTGCTGCGCCGGAGGGAGGAAAGTGCAGCGCGCATATCCATTAGGTTTGGACGCAGTTAGTGTGAAGCTGCAAAACGCACCAGTAGCTAAGCAGTCGTCCATTTTCCAGGCGATTTCTTGTGACATGGGCGGTGGCGACGGCTTGTGGCTTTGCACCGAATGGAAGGGAACAGTTGCTTTTGTGGTCTCCAGAACAGAACCAGACTCTGGAGCAGTACGTTTGCCGGTTGCTGGATAAGCCTGTGTGTTGTATTTTCGTTCCTAGGTAAAGCGTCGGTGCTCGTTCACTAGCAGGATGCACACGCCGTGCTTTTTGGTCGTGAACCAGCGTGCGCTGATAAGCAAGCTGGCGGAAGAAAGCAAAAGCGGTAGTTTGATTTTGGGATATGCTATTATCTCCAGGCTGTATGGAAGAACTTGGGGAGGGCGCAGAAAATTGCTGACATTGGGGACAAAGGGAAGGATGTAATTGTTCCAGTATTGGCGTTGCAGGATGGGAGTATTGGAGGTAGGCCTACTTTAGGCGGTTGTCCTGCAATTTGTTGCGTGCGTGCTATATGCGACGAGACTGAGCGTTTTGATCAACGTTTCTGAAGAGAGCGGGATGGCTGGAGTCCGGTCGTGAGGTTCATTTGCGGCCAGTCAGTTCAAGAAGATAGCTGCATTCCAGCTGGGTGAGTGGGCGCTGAGGAGTCAGGAGAGCGCACGGAGAACCACAATTTCTGTGGAAGATATATGGTGTGCGGCGAGCATGTGCTGCGCCGGAGGGAGGAAAGTGCAGCGCGCATATCCATTAGGTTTGGACGCAGTTAGTGTGAAGCTGCAAAACGCACCAGTAGCTAAGCAGTCGTCCATTTTCCAGGCGATTTCTTGTGACATGGGCGGTGGCGACGGCTTGTGGCTTTGCACCGAATGGAAGGGAACAATTTCTCTCGTGGTCTACAGAATATAGGCAGACACTGGAGCAGTACGTTTGCCCGATGCTGTGTATCATTTTTTGTGGCATTTTTGTTTCTGCACAAAGCGTCGGCGTTCGTTAACTACAAGGATGCACAAGCAGTGCTGTTGGTCGTCAACCTGCCTGTGCTCAGTAGCAAGCTGGCGGAAGAAAGCAAAAGCGATAGTGTGATTTGGCGATGCGCCATTATCTCCAGGCTCTATGGACGGACTTGGGGCGAAGGCAGAAAATTATTGACATTGGGTTCTAACGAAATGCTGTGATTGTTTTCAACATTGGTGTCGCAGGACGGAAGTATTGAAGCTAGGCATACTTCAGGCATTTGCTCTATAATTTGGTGCGTGCGTGCTACATGCGACGAGATTGAGTCTTTTGGTTAACGTTTCTGAAGTGAGCGGGATGGCTGGAGTCCGGTCGCGAGGTTCATTTGCGGTCTGTCAATTCACGAAAGTAGCTGGATTTCAGCTGGTTGGGTGGGTGCTGCTGCGGAGTCAGCTGAGCACTTGGAAGGCCGGATCGTCTTCTTAATCGTCGTTCTTAGATGAATCGAGAATCAAGCCAGGAGAAGTTGTTTGTGTTACTGCTCATACACTTTGGTTGGAAAATTTTTGTGCCGAGGAATAGCTTGTGAATCAAGCGTTTTCGAGAAATTTTACAGGACAGTAAAGACGGCGGTGCCATCAGAAGTCTGGCAATGCCCTGTTACCTTTATGTTCTGCACCACCCGAAGCCCATCTGTTGCCTTCTGTATGTTTTCCCTTTGTTCCGTTCTGGCGAAACAGTTCTCAATTTTGTGACCAGTGGCTGCACGCGTGCTATGTGGCGGCTGAAATCTTGGGTCAAGCTTTCTGAGCAAAATAGGATGGCAGGAACAGCGGCCCGAAGTCTGCTGGTTTGCAACTGTAGAAAGCAAATACGTTGCATGCAGTGATTGCCGAAGGGTCAGTAGTGCGCGTCGACGGCGGCATGATTCACGCAATGCATGCTTCTAAAAGAGGCAGGAAGGGGTGCGATGCTTTCACGTGTGGAGTACATTTAGTCTTTCATGCATTGAATACGGTGAATTTCGGTGTAAGCGAATGGCTGGCAAGCTATCCCCTATCTAGCCGACCTTTCAAGGAGGTAGCATCCCCGGCATTATTTGACAATGTAAATACACGAGGTCATTTATTATCGCAGTGTCACAGAGACATGCAGACTATTCCCAAACTAGTTTGTCGTCTTCTAGGTAAGCGTTTCTTCGGCTCTTCTTAATACTCAAAATCTCGATATGCGGATGTTGACAAGCTATGTGGGCGGTGTTCGACCTGGCGACTGCGCCGAGTAGCGAGCAGCGCATTGGCCCAACAGAACAAGACGTTAATGTTTAATTCGAAATTTGTGGACAAAATGTGTTTGATAACTCAAAGAGTGCCCAGCAAGTGGCTGATGCTGGGTACTGAAGGGAAAACGGCATTTTGTCTGGCAAACCAAGTTGCAACCGGCTGTCTGCTTGATTGAGAGCATACTTGATTGAGAGCATACTGCACTTGGCAGTTATGCTTTCAAACCAGCTTCTCTAAAACGTGCGAAACGTTGGAGATTGAGTTTGTTGCCGCCTTCTAACAGCTAGGGAGCAGTTATATTCCATCTGCGTTAGTGCCTTAAAGTCAGCACAGCGCTTGGAAGGCCCCATGGTAAACGCACGCCTTGCTTTCTTGGGAAACAGGAACTGTTTCAGGATATGGGTATGTTTGGGAAGTATCATTTTATTTTCCCAAGCTTGCGAGATTTTGCTGTCAGCAAGCAGGCTGTCGAGCCAATCGTTTACCAGGCGGGCTCTCCAAACAATAACGGCGGCAATGGTGTGGGCTGCTGCGAGTCAATGATTATTTCATCTACAGTCGAGATGCTAGGGGAGCATTTCAATGTCTGTCCAGCCACTTTGTCATCTTCTGAACAAGCATGCAACTTTGTTTTTCGTGGGCAAAACCTGGGAGCGTAGAAGTCGGCAAGTGGCTGGGCGCTTCTCTCCGGACACAACATCTTCGTTGCCAATGAAGGGGTTCAGTACAAGCTAATTGTAATATGACCTGCCCATGATGCGAAAACAGATACAGCAAGTATGGAGGTGTATGGAACACCTAGTCATTTGTGGTTGTCTTCCAACTATTGAGATACTTTGTCTATGCGTACATTGTGGGACAAGCCATGTTCGGTTAGTCTTTATTCGGCTTTAAGACACCGCCTGAAAATGAATTGTAATGTGGAGCATCCCGCATATCTGATCCCATCTGAATGAGTTCCGAAGATGTAATGCAGAATCTTAGCTGCTGTCCGGACTACCAGCGGCATGCTCAATATCCAGGTGAGAATTAATGTAGGCAGGCACAAAAGGGTTGGAAATGACGTACAGACACAGCTTAAAATATTATGTTTATTGAGTCTCTTCTCCCTCCTAAAATTAACGGAGGACACGACAGACGTTTGAAGTGCACTCTGTAGATGGCCGAACAAGACGTTGCATGCAATTAGAACACCACAAAATTTTGCTTTTTGCTAGCGGATTGCACCGAGCGAGGTTTGTAGAGCTCGACTCGTTTGCGGAGCGCTCAACTAGTTTGTTGGCTAGTGACGAGCATGAAACAATTTTACATGCAGGATATTTTCTGCAACAAGCGCTAGGTGGGGCCTCGATATTATAAAATGAAGGCATTGCATCATTTCGAGTGATGGGTTTGTATGGCAGAAGTTTTCAGTTCTGATGGATTTGATCTCGCAATATCACAATCGTTTTATAAATATTGAAATGAATGAGTTGTGCTCGCTGAAAGGTCTTGCAGCGGGAGGTGTATAGGTAACATCATGAGGCATTATGCAGCTTTTTGATCGTATGGGCGTACATGTATGAAAATAAGCTACAAACGAACTGGCGACTAAAAATTGCGCATCATTTAGAGTGTGCCTGAAGTTCACAAAAAAAACGAATTGGAAGCGTGTGCGTTAAAATGTGACACAATGTTTGCTGTTCTCCAGTGTGTGACTGAGATTGTTGACATGACTGGGGTGTGGCAGCAGTATGCTTTTCCGCGCTTTATGCGGCAATAGTGGCACCAATAATGTTGTGCAACTGTCACATGGCGAAGAAGAAATCCGTGCGAGTAATGTGAACAGGGCCGGTATTTTCAGAAGCGATTCCATGCACGAGGAGGTGCTGGAGAGAAAAGTCGATCATTTTTGCGTGAGTAAATGCCGGTAGCCTGCGTTTGTGACATCGGAAGAGAAAAGGTCTTCTACGCTATGTTGCAAGGTGGCAAATGCGTAAGGGGGATGGGCTGTAACAAAACTTTTGCGGCTGATGGTTTCGAAAGTCAACGTTTGCAACTTCCGACAGATTTGATTCCGTCATCCCTTAATCGCATTCCAAAGGAATGTATGTATGTAACAAGCTCGCTGGAGGTGGTCGCTATATCAGGTGAGAAACAGGCGTGTACAATGCGGCTGGACAACAGTGTGTAAGCTGCTTCCTATGTCTAGAATAGGGGCTGTGGGCCAAAGACCGAATGAAGTTCAAGATCCAGTGGATGCTGGAAGCTAGGATGAGCGATACTGCAGACTATGCCTCTTAGCATAGTCAGCTTCATCACTGCTGCAGCATCGCTGCAGACTATGCCACTTAGCTTCATCACTGCTGCAGCATCGCTGCAGACCATGCTTGAAAGCATAATCTGCAGCATTATTCACCTCAGCGTCCAGCATCCACTGGATCTGAACTTCATCTGGTCTTCAGTCCACAGCCACAGTGCTTTTGTGTGTCCTAGTGTGCTGTCGGAATTTTCCGCCCGGTGAAAGTGTATCAGAATAATATCTGGCCATACTAAATGTGGCAGTGTCAGCACCAACAGCGGTGTGCAGGTGCAACATGGCGAGGAGACTATTCGCGTGCGTGGTATGCAAAGCAAGAGTATGGCAATATTGAATGAGCTTGCCTACAGATAAAATTGGCTTGCTGGTGAAGTGCTTGGATGATTGTCGTCTTAGTAGGTGTTGGCAGCTAGACATAGATGCTACGTAGGCCGGGGGGTGTCCTAGGCTACGCGGCAGGGTAGTGCGCAAGTTACAGAGGCTGGGACAGCACCAGATGGCGATGCAGTGATAGTTTTCCAACGCATCTTGAGACGGAGAGGACGACAAAAGGAAGAGAATGAGGTCCTCACAGCTATGGCATGGCATCTCGTGGAGGCATGATCTTTCAGGCACCAAAAAGGAATGTTGATGAGCTAACTTGCCTTTGCCCTGACGAGGTCGCTGTTTGGAGCGATTAGAGGATTTCGCTGCAAAGTTTGGTTGCTTGCTGGTATAGCGTTTGCTGGTGGAAGGGTGCACGGGCTCATGCTGAGGTTTCACGTGCTTTTCGGCAAGAGCGAAGCTACCTTTCATCTGGTGCGCGAAAGGCTGACAAGCAAGTAGCTTGCCATGCAACAGTGTATGTTGAAGCAAGATGCGAGTCCTCGAACAGTGTGGTAAGGCCATGTTTCGCCATTGTGCGTGCAAGGTTCTGTCCCAACATTATGACCTTGCTGTGTGTAGGTATAATATCTGCATGCGGGGACGCAAGCCAAAGGGATTAACTGAAGCCATTTAAAGTTTTGCATCCGAGGAACCTGTGTGGTTTACTGCATGGCAGGCCAAATAATAAGGTTATGCACAAAAGTGCATTTTTTGGGAAGATAATGATTTGCTTTCTGAAATACAAGCGTTTATGTGCAGTCGTATAATTGCGGGATGATAACATGACAGCTATGATGAGAAGCTAACGGTGCGCATTCTCCGTGCATAATCGCATGAGTGCATGTGGGTGAATGGCGGGCTGGCCGCATTTTCTGAAGGGATTGCGGCACTGCGCCAGGCTGCCAGCTTCGAATCCTTTCGTACCTTGCTGGCGTCCTTGAGATAACTGTTTAAAATGAGCAAGCTACCCTGGACATGGGAAAGCCGATGCAGACACCACTTCT